AACCCCCCCCCCCCCCACCGCCTCTAATTCAGCCAGAAGAATCTCCCTGAAGGAGGCAACCAGGTGAGAATCCTCACCGTGCCACTGGGCCATTTCTCAGAAGGAGGGGGAGGAGGAGGAGGAGGATTAAGGCTGACAGCAGAAATTTTGCAAAAGTCTTGAACTCAGTGCAAGGAAATACTGATGAGGAGATGTGGGAGGGGGGCTGGGAAGAGAAAGGAAGATGGTTGCAACATGCTGGTTCCCAAACCTGCTACAGGATCTTCTATTATAATGCTGATGTCCCTCTGCCCTCCTAAGGACACGCAGCGAAGCAGAAGAGAATATTAAGAGAAAAATAGAATAAAAATAAAAAGGATAGTTACTTTCCAAGATAGAATCCTATCTGGCTCACTTTTGGGAGTATCACTGTTACCTCACACAGATCTGGCCACTTCACATACCACAAAAACCTTCCCTTTAAGATGAAGATTCCCAGATTATCACAGTTATAGTACTCTTCAGCCATTATCACCACCTGTTTCTCCATCTTTTTCAGTGACTGTCTATAGCAGCCTTCCCAACCAGGATGCCCTCCAGGTGAGTGAACTTCAACACCCAGAGTCCTCAGGAATGGTCAGGTTGACTGAGGAATGCTGGGATTTCAAGTCCCCACCTTTAGAAAGCATACTATGTGGGATGGAGAAGTATTATTAAGCTATAATTCCCAGCAGCCCTTGCCAGGACGTTGGCAGTGAGAATGGGTTAGAACTAAAGATCAGCACTATTTGAGGGAGGGGAGTTTCCCTGCTTCTGACACAGATTATTTGTAAAATGTCTTGTAAAGAGGGAAGAGACGCGCCCAAATCAGTTAAGGAGATGGGGGACTAAGTACTCCAAGGCAAAGAAGTCTCAAACAGGCTTAAAATGCAATACATTGCAACACACTTAAACTGTTTACTGCATCAACCATTTTCTGAGTCTACACAGTATGTTGTACCATAAATAAGCCAAATACATAAAGCAACAAAACCTTTAATCCAGAGGACAAACATATCTATTGTGCAATGCAGCTGTGGGGCCTTTAATGAACCTGGTTAAGTATGTGGAACGGACCTGGTCTTTCTTTATCTGTTTTATTTCCCTTCAATTAGCGTTTTTAAGAGAGGCCTTTTCAACTCAGTTGAGAGGCATGCTATAACGTACCACAACTGGAGATGCAGAATTAGGAGAGCATTTCTGAACTGGAATTGTTGCTGAGGGGGAGGAAGAGGATCTGATCAGCCACCAGTCCAGTTCTGCTATTCAGAGACCACCTACATGAGCATCTAATGCAGTGTTTTTCCAACCTGGCAACTTTAAGATGCGTGGACTTCAACTCTCAGAATTCCCCAGCCAGCACGTTTGAAGTTGCCAAGTTGGAAAAACACCGCTCTAATGCATGACACACAGAACGGCATTTGAGAGTAGCAGAAGTAACAAGAGCTTCTTTCACCCCCATTTGCCCCCCTTACCATGAGCTTTTGCAGAAGCCACGTTGGTGTCTGAATGGGAGCGCACATGACTCCTTTTGAGTTTCCCTTGGAGACTTGATGTCTGTCCCTCGGAGAAGCTGGACCTGCGCAACAGCACTGCTTTCTGGCTGCCGCTGCCTCCCTGCTCCCCCCAGGAGGAAACCGACTCCTGCTTCTGAGAGCTGCTGGATGAAAACAGATTGGAAGTGCTGCTCCCAGCACTGTTTGAGGTGGCGGCGCCAGATTCATTGGGGCTGTCACAATCCTGACTTTGCCGGCCGAGATTCCCAATGGCCAGATATTCCGGCCCGTCCGTCTCATCCTGGCTTCCAGACCAGGGGTCAGAGTTCACGTTGGGCAAGATGCCAGGGCTCATGCCAGCAGCTGGGAAGTGGTCATCTTTGGGGCCAGAGATGCTGAGATGAGGAAGAAGAGGAACCGGGTGTTGGGGGCACCTGCCTTCCAGATGCTGGTGGGCTGAGGCCCAGGGGGTATTTTCTTGAGACTGGCAGGGGCTACTGAATGCTGAAGGGCTTGATAATCTCCTGTCTAGAAAGAGAAGTAGAAACAAAAAGAGAATTCACCTTAGGGATGATGTGGCTACAAGAACATAATTGTGTGAGTAGAAACATTCTGGAACCTGCAGTGAGCCCAATACCAGAAACTAATGAGGGATGGACAATCCACTTTACCCCCAGTGCCCCATTTGCAGCCCCCCAAATGGGAAGTGCCAATACTTTCTTAACCCTGGCAGAAACTTAAGGCACTTGGGGCATTCCCTAAACAACATGGAAGGTCCCCTCTCCAGTGGGAAAGGACTGTTGTTTTGTACTGTTTTGTATTGTTCTTTGTTTTTATATGCTTTTAACAATATGTAAACCACCCAGAGTTGCTGGGAGTCAGGAAGCATACAAATGTTGTTGTTTTATTTATTATTATTATTATTATTATTATTATTGTTGTTGTTGTTGTTGTTGTTGTTGTTGAAAATGAGCACCTTAAGCTTTAGCAAACTCTGGCACCCATTCTCACCCATCCCTTCATGTGCAAAAATAGGAGCCAAACTGTTGTCCAGTCCACTTCAATGACTAAAACAAAGCCTGATTTCCAGTCTGTCAAAGTTCACAGCCCCTTAAAAAGCCTCCAAATTTACTGGCAACAGACATTTCCTGCCAGAGAGAAGGTTGGGAGCCAGCAGAGAAAATTCCCAGTCAGCAATTGCCTTATCACTATTATCCAAATTAGATAATACTTACTGCCATTTACTATATAGAGGGGAAGGCTACTTCTAAATTCCAGTTACTGTAACTTCCAACAGTTAGACCAGTGTTTCCCAGCCTCAGCAGCTTTAAGATGTGTGGACTTGAATTCCCCAGCCAGCATGCATGGATTTCAACACCCAGAATTCCCCAGTCAGAATGCTGGCTGGGGAATTCTGGGAGTTGAAATCCACACACTTTAAAGTTGTTGAGGTTGAAAAACATTGAGTGAAACTATTGATGGACCAAAGTGCCATGGAGCACATCCCACTGGATTTAGAAAAGAATGGACAACTTCCAGGGATTCCCAAATAAACACCAGCTGTTGATCTTTCAAGCCTCCTATAGGAATCAAAACAACCTACTAATCTATGTACTGTATATATATGGGATCCAAGACCTTCTTGGCAGGCCTTTCTCCAACCACCTTCCTTGGAAGCCAGCCAGGTGTTGGGGGGCCTTTCCCATGGGGATAATTTATACTGCAACTATGCCATAGAAATCCTACTCATCTGATGAGTGAACAGTTTTAGGGACCAAATCAAGAAGTGTTTTCCTGCCCAGGTTTTTAGCAAACAGCAAATATTAATGGCTGGTTTAAAAATTTTACTGCTAGCTACATCCACAAGTGGAGATCCAATGAACTCCAAAAATACAGAAGCAAGGCATGAAGGTGAGCGTTATCTTCCTCTGGCTCGTATGTCCCCCTTTCTCCCACCATGGATAGCCAGAGACACACAGGCACCAAAAACTGCAACATACATCAACTTCCAACTGAACAGCGTCATCTGTGCTGCAGCAACTGAGTCGCAGGAAAGAGATTTTGCTAAAAAAGAATTGCCTAACATGCAGATGCTCACGGCTCGCCTTCCTTACCTTGGACGCTGGCAGAGGCAGAGGGAAGACCCGCGAGGGAGCCAAGGTGCCGATGGGCTGTGCTTTCGGCAGGAGGGGTAGAGAGGGATCCCAGAAGCGCCGTGAGGCTCTTTGTCCCGGGCTCAGAGGCCTCGCCTCTCCTGGCAAACTGAAAGAACGGCCAAGTTCAGGCAACAGTCACGCGGAGGACTGGGGGAGGATAAGAGAGAGAAGCAGAGACGCGCGGCCTGCTTCTTCTGACATCCCAGGAACAGTTCCTGCGCTGACTTAACAGGTTGCCCACAGGAGTCATATGTCACAGGGCCTTCTGGCACACTTTCAAGGACAGTGTTTTTCAACCTTGGCAACTTTATGTTGTGTGGACTTCAACTCCCAGAGTTCCCTCCCAGCCAGCACTGCATGGACTTCAACTCCTAGAATTTCCCAGCTAGAATTCTGGGAGTTGAAATCCACACATCTTAAAGTTGCCAAAGTCGAGAAACACTGGGCTAGAGGAATGGGCATGCCTGTAGCCATTCATCAGCACTGCTGTCTCATTTGAACTTTGTGCTCCACAATCCCCATAGCTCTCTTTTCTGGAGAAAAATCAGCAGTATCTGGCAAGTCAAAAATCCAAAGTGGAGGCATAGAAGAGAGGATACTTGACCTGGTAAGGGGCTTGTTAAAAAAAATCTTGGAATAGGAGCTCAGTATGAGCCAGCAGAGTGACAGAGCTGCAAAGAAGGCAAATGCAGTTTTAGGCTGCATCAAAATCACAGGAAGCAATTTTATTCTGTCTCCGTCAGGCCCTATTTCAACTACTTGTCCAGTTCTGGGCACAACATTTTAAGAAAAGTTTAAAGAAATCAGAACAGGTTCAGAGAAGGCAACAAGAATGATCGGGGAGCTAGCGACAAAGCCCAACGAAGAAAGAGCTGGGTATGTTTAGCCTCGAGGAAAGACAATTGAGGGGATATAGAAGCATTTTTCAAATGCCTGAATGGATAATGCACAGGCCTCTTCATCATCACTCCAGAACACTGACTTAGAATAATGGATTTAAGATCCAGGAAGGCATATTCCAACTGAATGTCAGAAAAACAACATAATAGTAAGAGCAATTCAATATTGGAACCAATTTTCCAGAGTGGGGGTGGGCTCCCCTCCACTGGATATGTTCAGGCAGCCATCCGCCTGGAATGTTTTAATTTGGATTCCTGAACTACCAGTGGGTTGAACTCAAGGCCCCCAAGAGCTCTATCCAGTTCAGGAATTTTATCCTTCTGCTGAACTTCTTGAGGAATCCACAACTAGCTTCTGACACCATTTTTAAAAATTTCTAATTAGAAGTAGCTCCAATCAAGAGCACAAATATCTAGAGCATCAGGCAGGTTCTTGTCCTATGCCCTGTGCTACCCAGAAGTATCTTCCTTTCTTTCTAAAAGGTCTATTTTCCTTCATACCTAGTGAAGAATTTTATTCACCCTAGGCGAGCAGTTACCAGCAAAGTTAAGTTGAGACAACTGAGGACAGGTGCTTAGGTCCCACTCCTTGAGAAATCTGGTGGCCTGCATCCAGCCCTGGCCAACCATGTGGCAGTGGCACTGCAGCTGCTTTTGGACAATTCATTTACAGGATCCATAAGTCCAAAGCACTCCTTCAGAAGACCTCTGCTCCTGAATGAGATACTGTGTGAAGGATGACAGCAAAGGTTCAAAAGGCGGCCACGCTGACAATCTTGGATGCCCCAAGAACGGCACATATAACACCTTTACTGCGGGAACTGCATTGGGTCCTAGTTTGCTTCCAGGTCCAATTCAAGGTATTGGTTATCACCTTTAAAGCCCTACATGGCATGGGACCGGGTTACCTGAGGGACCATCTCACCCCCATCACATGAACCTGTCCCACCCGGTCAGGCAGAGAGGGCATCTTGCGGACCCTGTCAGTAAGAGAATGTCGGCTGGTGGGGCCCAGGAGAAGAGTCTTCTCTGCTGCTGCCCCCATCCTTTGGAATATTCTACCCCCAGAGGTGCAGTGGGCCCCCACCCTCCCGGCTTTCCGCAAAGGCTTAAAGACCTGGCTCTGCCAGCTTGCGTGGGGCAATAGGAATCTTACCCAATCCTGGGGGTGGCTGGTGCCTTGATGATGCTCCCCGAGCTACCTGCCCATGTAACATCTATCCTTGGATTATATTTATTTTCCATTTATTCAAGACCATTTTATACTGCATTTTTAATTGATTTTAACTTCTTTGTAAACCACCCAGAGTGGTCTTTTAACGAGGTGGGCGGTGACAAATTTGATATATAAATGAATGAATAAAGGACCCAAAGCCAGACCAAAGACCCAACCCAAGAAGAAATGAGAAAGTCCCTTCTCACTATAGATGCGTCAATCTGAGCCAGCAGCCGGGGGTTGTTCTGCTCCACAGCTTCTAGGCACTGCAACATGACAGTGACGTGGGCGTCGCTCAGCAGAAAAGCTGAGTCTGCAAAAGAAAAAGAAAAAAGGAGGAGAGAATTGTGCCTTTGGTCCTGCACTTAGAGGATGTTGCATGCAGTATTTTCATTCCCGGGGTCTCCATCCCATGCTTCGGAACAGATCCCTTTGGGAAGGGAGGAGCTACCCCAGACTTCCAGGAAAGAGAGAGAGAGAGAGAGTCTCCACTGCTGCTGTCTAGATTTCTAATGTGATCAAAGGGGACCCGGTAGTGCAGCGTTTCTCACCCTTGACAACTTGAAGATGTGTGGACGTCAACTCCCAGAATTCCTCATGCTGTTGAGGTCTACACATCTTCAAATTCCCAAGGCTGAGAAAAATTGCAGCAGCGCATTGTCAAGTGAGAAGCGAGGAGAGAATATCCCCAGCAAAAACAAGAATGCCCAAGCAAGCATTAACCCCAGCCACCCATTCAAAGTAGACCCATTTGGAGGTTGCCAAGTTGGGAAAGGAAGTGGCTAGTTTGAAGGAGTTTGGGCCAGGGGCTTGGCCCCAAGGTAAGCTTAGCAACAGTGCTGCTGGACAGGGGTATTCTGGATTTATCTTTTTTTTATTATTATTTTATTTAAGTGACCAGCTAAGTGTCAACACCTATACAATCTTGGTTGATCTCGAAAAGCTAAGCAGGGTTGGACCTGATTAGTCTGTGGAGGGGAGACCCATGGTTAACCCCGGGACTAAAAGCTAGAGTGGGAAGTTGAGAAACTGTCTCAGAAGCAGGAATGGCAACCTGCTTCCATACCGTGGCCGAGAAAATGCCATGGAAGCATCAAAGAGGACCAGGAGTCGAGTTCAAGTGGGAGACTGACATTAAACAGGATAGGGCCTAGAAAATACTGGAGTGGGAGAACTTTAGTGGCTAGGCACCAGATTGGGAATTCAAAGAAACCCCCCAGAAGCGAGTAACTTCCACTCCCATGTTGCCACCCACCCCTCCCACATAAAGCAGCAGGAAAAAGCAGGGGGAAGTTTGGCAGGGAGAGGCGAAATCCAAGTATGGGAGGCCTGCAAGCCCTGTTTCATCTGCAGCCTGCCAGGGTGGGATGAACGGAAGGCAGCTTCTGGAAGCCAGTTCCCCACTAGGAGAGAACACACCCAACAAATTCTACCAGGCAGGGAACAGGAGCAGGGGAAGGCAAGGATGGCCAGTTTTCTCTTACCAGTGTAGAATTTCCTGATATACTGCTTGTTCCCCAGCAGAGGTTTCAGCTGAGCTGAAAGGCAGTGGAATTGCAAGCTGTGCTGCAGCCAGAGCTCTGCGACGGTTCGCTTTCTGGCCTCGTCAGAACTCTGCTGCCCGTTCTCGTGCAGATGGAGAAACTGGAAAAGAGGAGCCAGGTTAAAAGACAAAGCAGGCCAAAGTCAGGGGGAACACAGTATCCATGATGGAATGGCCCTTTTTAGGTCTCCTGCCCCCCAAAAGCCTGAGGGGGGCTCTTGTTTAAAGACCAGAAGAGGCCACAAGGACCAGAAAAGGCTGGCTACCAGCTTCAGCTCCCCAACTGCCAGTTGAAAGGAGGGTTCGTCTAAAAAGAGATGTTTTATCTGCTGGAGAAAAAGGTAAGTCCCACTTGTCCTTGGTCCAAGACATCAGCTGGCCCCTAAACTAGGCAGCATGCTGTCTGTCTTAGAGACATCACCATCCTATCTCCCCATTTATTAGCCCTCTCCTTCAGCCCTACGATCGAAGGTCAGGATTTGAAGGGCGACAAGGCCGGAGAGGAGATGCCTGGCTTGTCGTTGCTTCAGGAGAAGGAATTCAGTCGGAGAAGTTCAGGGATCGGCCGCTGCAGGAGATCACCTGAGGTTTTGCTTTTACCCGCATTCAGCCGGGCAAGCCATTCCCAACTGAAGAGCGGGGGCCAAGATCCAACATGCAGCATCTACCTCTCTCCCCTTGAGGATTTTTTGAAGGAGCCCTGAGCAGGGTGAAGAATCTAATCCAGTGTTTCTCAAACTTGGCCGCTTGAAGATGTGTGGACTTCAACTCCCAGAATTCCCCTGGGAAACCCTGGGGAATTCTGGGAGCTGAAGTCCACACATCCTCAAGCAGCCAAGTCTGAGAAACATTGGTCTACCCTCTGCCTTTACATTCCCAAGCCTCAAATCAGCACCTCTGCCAGGGAAGAGCTTCTCGTACAATTAGTGTTTTGAGCAACCTTTGGAAAAGTTTCAAAAGCAACCAACCAAGGGACCTTCTCACTCACCTAGTGGGTAACAGCAAAGCCACTTCTCTGTTGTTTCAACACCGCTTCTCCTGTACCCGACCTCCGAAACCCAAGCTTCTCTCCCCACATCCCCCAGGCACTCACTCACCTTCTCGACATGATGGGCCGCGTGCGGGCTCAGCCAACGCACATCCTTCACAAACTGCCAATAGTCTGTCTGCCGGCGACGCACCTGCCAGGAAACAGAGGCAGAGTTCAGGTTCCTCTGATGGCACTGGCTCAGAGAACTGACTGCAACCTCGCCCGTGCTGCCAAAACGCGACCAGGCAGAGAAAGAGGAAGGAAACGAGCTGTTTTACAGCTGCTGAATATAAATGGCAAAAGGAAAAAGCACGGCCAGCAGCAAAAGAAAACAGCCTTCAACTTGCATCTTCTTCCTCCTGGCCGAAGATCAGTTTGCCCTTTATCCTAATGTAGGCAACAATTATTTGCTTATTGCATTAGCATCCTACCTTTTCTCTGAGAGTGTGAGGTAGCACAAGTGGGGTTCTTCTCCAATGTTATATCCCCACAACAACCCTGTCAGGTTGTTTAAGCTGAGAGAGAGAAGGACTAGTCCAGATTCACCTCAAGAAGCTCTGTGGGGCAGTTGGAACTGGAAGCTGGGTTTCCCTGGTCATCTCAACCACTGCACTGGCTCCCACAATGGGTTTATTTGGGCTTAGCTGGTAGAATTCGTTACTTGACTCACTGAATTTGCAACAGTAGAGCAATCAAAAACAGCCAAAAGAACTATGAAGTAAGACCTGGAGAACAGAAAACTGCAGGGCAGAATTGTTCTGCATTGTTCCAAAAGCCAAGGCAAGAAATAGTGAATTGAATCTGCAGGGAAGGAAATTTTGGTTGGACTTCAGGAAGAATCGCCTAATGGTAAGAGCTGTTCAACAAGGGAAGAAGGTGGCCTCTCCTTCACTGGGAGTGTTTCAACAGAGCTCAGTGGGCATCTGCCCGGGATACTGTGCTGGTGGATTCCTGCACTGGGCAGGGGATTGGCCTGGGTGACCTCTAAGACTCCTCCCAGCTCTTTACATGCTGATTCTTGACAATGAAGCAGGAATCTTTGACTTTTCATAAATGTGCTGAGAAATACACATACAAATACAGATAGTTCTCATTTACCCACCACAACTGGAACTGGCAACTCCATTGCTAAGTGACACAGTCGTTAAATGAAACATCACGTTCCGCTGCAGTCATTGAATCATTGCAGGTCATTAAGCATGACATCACGTAACCGCAATTTGCGACTTACTGCTGGCTTCCCCTTTGACATAGCTTGCTGGAAGCCATCAGTGAAGCTTGCAAATAGTGATTATGTGACCATGGGACGCTACGACCATCATAAATGTGTGTCAGTTGCAAAGCGCCCAAATGGCAATCATGTGACCACAAGGATGCTGCAACGGCTGCAAATTCAAGGAGCAGTTGTAAACCTACTTTTTCAGAGCCGTCGTAACTGAACAGTCACTAAACGAGGTAGTTGGTAAGCAAGGACTACCTGTATGCTTTAGGGTATTGTACTCCAGCTCCTTAAGTTGCACAAGGAAAGGAACCAAGTGTAGGTCAGTACATTGCATGCAGTTAATAGGATGCAGGCAGCAACAGTATGTTGGCTTGTAAGGCAGTCTCTAGGCTACAGATCCTAGCTTACACAGAATAGCACAAGCAGCTTTGGATAAAACCTTGCTTTGGATGCTCTTATGGCATACTGGCCAAAATTTGGAATTTTACTACTGTAGAGATGGGAAAGGAAGCCAAGATGGGAGAGAAAGGTCTTGCTTATATAAAGCTATCTAGTGGATGAGATCTGAACCAACAATGACCTTCACTGATTCTAAACCTTCTAAATCTTAAGTCTCAACAACGACTGTCAAAAAACTTGGATCCCACCAAGCCAGAATCCAAAAGCCCACTTTTTTTTTCAGAGAAAGACAAGCATTCTGTTATATATTTATTTGTTATGGTAAATTTTAAGGACATAAAAACTGCAAACATCCTTCTAGCAGTAACGTTGTTGTTATAACTGTAAAACAATTTATTAGTGCTAGTGGGCCAAAGGGGTATTTGACATGGTGGGAACAGCCTTCATTCAAACCCAAGTCAAAAAACATATCCAAAGTATGAGAAACAACTGAGACTTTACAGTGGGGCAAAAAAGTATTTAGTCAGCCACCAATTGTGCAAGTTCTCCCACTTAAAAAGATGAGA